AATGAATGATACCTAATTTTTCCAAGGTCATTCAATGTTCTTCAATACAAATAATATAATAAAATTAATTTAGTCATTTTATTAGGTTAATATATCAGGCTTTATCTCTAATCTATAGTTACCTCTCTAGTATGTAATAATATCTAAGGCTGTATTCTCGAATGCAACTTTCGGCTGCCAGATACCACATTAACCTACTATTTTATGACTTATTTAGATATAAATGGAATAGTGGCAGGTACTATTCATATTTCATGATAGGTTATCTGGCTGATTATCTGGTTTTTCCTTCACCATTTTGGAATATAACAACTTGTCCTAGCCTCATACTTTAGGAATTTTTAACAGATCTGAATGAACAGCAGCCTCTGACATTTAACTTGCTGTTGGCCTTTTATCAATCTCTTTCATGATATCTAATTGAAAAGTAATTGAAAAAATGTCAGATAATCAATCAAAGTAGGCGAATTACATGTTACATGCAACCCTGGCCTCTAATTTGGGATTTCTTTCTCATAATTTTCTCAACAGTAAGAAATCTCTAAATCCAAATCTATTTTATGATATACCTTAAAGAATTGTACCCCTGTTAAATTTATAATGTAATATAGGATGATTGTGATTCCAGATTTATTTTTGGCCTATGGGATGGCCTATGGGATCGACTAGTCACCTGTCCATCTTTTTGTCCATCCACCCATCGATCCGTCAACATTGGCTGCACAAATTAAAACTGCTATTCGCATTGAGTCAAATCCACGTTCATTTTATGCATGTCCAAAATGCCTTTTTGTCCTCAATTATAGTTTTTGGTGCGTATGACATTTGACAAAAGGTAGGACTCTACACGTTCCCAGGAGTTCAAATCTGACCTTAGCTTTGAGATTTGACCTTTACTTGAACTTAAGTGAACTTCGAAGGTAAAAAAAGTTGATTTTTCAGATTGATTTTAATTTTTTAGCTTAATCACAAAAGACGTACTGAGCTCTGAAAAGGGAAAATTTTCAAATCCAAGGGTCAAGGTCATTAAGGTAGGTCATTAACTGTGCTATTTAAGTTTCTCAAAGTTGGAGACTACAAATCAATTATATTCTTGGTTGAGAGTCAGGATATACATTCCTCTAAAGGTTCTACACTATGTGAGCACAGGGCCGTGGGTCCTTCATCATCTTTATAGCCATCTTGATTCACAAGTTTTCAGATGCTCCAGCTTACTTTGATGATTTAAGAATGAATCCACATTTGCTAAGTAAATAAAACAAAACACTTAAACACATTTTCATCCTAGGTGTGTTATAACCACCTTGAAAGTCAAAGATGATTTATAGCACTCTCCCAGCCGTAAAACTGCAGGTATTTGTTGATTTAACAGCACTTTCCATTACATTAGTATTGAAGAAAATATGATTTTGTAGTATTATTTGACATTTCTGTTATGTCAGTATGGGATGTTTTAGTTTTTAATGGAATTACTATTTTTACACATCACAAATAGAATATCACTTAAATTGGGATTCTATTTACTGTATAACATGAAATATTGCCGTGGATATAAAGTTGCCGATTGCCGAATGTATAACAGAAATGGCAACATAAAATTCGGAAATATAATTAAGTAATTGAAGATTGATCTTTGTGGGCGATAATATGGTAGTTGTCTTACTATTATCTTACTATACTTTAACAAAAATCATAAATAAAATACGATAAAATCGAAGCTTTATTCCCCAGCATAAAATTACAATAAAAAGTCATGTTAAAAAGTTAAAATGTCAGAAGATCTAATTGTATCCAAGTGCTTTGGAAATCCCAGTATTAAAAGTTTTTAATCCCGATATTAAAAGTTTTAATCCTGTTATTAATTGTCCTGGGTCTATCGAATGCGGTTAATCACTCAAATTGTCACTCATAATGTCAGGATGTCAGGTTTTCTGAGTCAGTAAAATGAAGGTGATTAAAATTCAGTTGTAAATCAAAATTATATTAGAGGTGTCAGCTTAGCAATATTTTATTTGGCTTTACATTAGGGGTGTCAGGTCTGCAAACTTTTATTCGGCAATAACAATTTTAATCCAATTCGGAAAATAAAGCACCCGGATTTAATACATGTTATACAGTATCTCTCATTTTTGATCAATATTTCCAGTTGCTTTGAGATTTATTGAATATGTACTCACATACTGTATAGAAACTTATATATGGTGTCTAATGTATAAAGACAAAAGAGTTATAGTGATATTTTATACCTTCAGGGTAATCTGGAAGTGGGATCGAAGATGATGCCATTTTAATACTCCTGAACCAATCCTCTTGGTTCAGATGTTCCCCAAATTATTATGCTGTTGTTTTCACCTTGTTTGATTAGATAATGAAAATAGTTTAAGCAGTTAATACTCCATTGTTATTATTCATATTAAAATCACAGAAGATCCCCTCAAATTAGTCACTTTTACCTCAAATGAGATTACACGAATTGTACCTCTTGTGGTACATAGCTAGCCAATGAAATGCATGAAAATCTTCATCCCAATTTGACATTTCCTCTCGTCATTCACGTCATTAATCAATCTTTCATTAGCAGTTGATTAGAGCGTAATCCTCTGTGTCACTGCATGACTATTGTGTCCTTTTGTCTGATATTGATATATAATTATTGTCTTTCTGTGCTGCCCTTCTTCGTGTATAAACAAGAACGTGATGAACATTAGATGTATTGATCGCCCTGTCTACATGTCTACTCTTAGTTCTTGTTTTGTATTTTTGAATTTGATAGGGAAAGTTTGATGAATTCGTGGTCTCCAAGTATGAGAACTTTGAGAGTTGGGTGATCCTCAGTGAGCCTTGCGGTCTCCATGTAACACTCATTTCATTCATAGGGAAGGGATGTGGTCTTCTGAGTGTGTCTCCATGTAACACTCATTTCATTCGTGAGGAAGGGATGTGGTCTTCTGAGTGTGTCTCCATGTAACACTCATTTCATTCATAGGGAAGGGATGTGGTCTTCTGAGTGTGTCTCCATGTAACACTCATTTCATTCATAGGGAAGGGATGTGGTCTTCTGAGTGTGTCTCCATGTAACACTCATTTCATTCATAGGGAAGGGATGTGGTCTTCTGAGTGTGTCTCCATGTAACACTCATTTCATTCATAGGGAAGGGATGTGGTCTTCTGAGTGTGTCTCCATGTAACACTCATTTCATTCATAGGGAAGGGATGTGGTCTTCTGAGTGTGTCTCCATGTAACACTCATTTCATTCATAGGGAAGGGATGTGGTCTTCTGAGTGTGGCCGTTGAAGTCGTATTAGTTAATATCTCAGATGAAGATGACTTGGGAGTTAGTTAAAATCAACTTGACCTTATATATTACAATTGTTATAGTTGGCGTTCATTTTGCATATTTTGTTTTATTTGTTTCACATCTTATCTTGTATGTGGCTTGCTCTATCAGTCATTATGTTAATTGGGTAATATAAGGCATTTTAGATTATCCAGAGTTATGGAATGCATTGTTAAGCTCATTAAAGAATTCTTTAGTTTTTTTAATGCTATCATGATACCTGTGATTGCTATGTAGGAGTCATAAAATGAAAGCTTCTTGTAATGAAACCCATCCCTTAAGTCCCTGCAAAAATATTAATCTCAAAAGGTTAATTGCATATGTATCTCTGGAAGAGAGCAGAGCTCACAAGTTCTAGATAAATCAGAATGTCAAATGCCAGTTATGTTTAGAAGGCATGTGCAACTCAGTCCCCATTGTCAAATATATTATGATTTGAATATGCCTTGGGGACCTGTTACTGTATTGTAAGTATTGTACATTAGGTTGCAATAGATGCAAGTTGAAATTTAATCTTATCAATTTAATATTTGAAATCTACATATAAAGTTATATGTAGAAACTGGTATTAAAAATTGGTTATCAACTTAAAATTTCAACTTTGGGATGATTCCATGATAATAAATTACAAAAAGTGAAATATTTTGTATTAGACAGATGATATTTTCTTTTACTAGACATATTTTTAGTTGTATAATTATTAAATGCAAAAAGATTAAATTGATTCACTTAATCTGTGTTTGGGAGCATTTTTTCTCTTTCTGCCATGATCTGCCATTGTTATCTGACCCAGATTAGCCACCTGGCTATAAAACCAGTAACTACCTACTGGCACATGGGTTATTGGGAAATTAGTTATTCTCTTTCATTGGTTAAATTCTGCTCATCCTAATGAAACAAGGGAATAGAAGTGACGGCTATGACGCAACAGAGCCTTCTGTAACAGAAATTGGCCAATCAAATTATATTTCCATCAAGCATCAGTAGATATATTGACTGCCTCTTGCTCTCTTAAAAGTACTTTTTTATAATGTCACCGTGTTCTGGGTATGTCATGTCAACATTATCATATTATAATGCTTATATTGTATTATTGTCTTAAGAAACGTACCTTGATTTCCAGTACCAGTTTCTTATTACATTATTTCTTCTGTACCAGTTTATTATACATACCGATTTATTATTCTATGTACCAGGGGGCCAGTCCATTGTTCTCTAACTCTGATGTCATTGTAGCCATGGTTACAACAATTGCTTTGCGAATTCATAACTTTACGAAGTTTCTGTTAATGACCCCTTGGATATTATTATGAGTAGAAGTATATTATCACATCACCCGCCTTTCTGTTCCTCCATCCATCTATGTCCGGCTGGGCATTCATCCTTCCAGTGGTATATCCGTCCCATAGAACAGATATGAGCAATATAAGCTGTCATTTGTCCAAAAATTGTCTTAACAAATTTGGAACATAATCACAGGGGTTGCACTAGAATTTCTCGGCTACATAAATGAATACAACAGGCAAAATTAATGGAAATCATGGATTTAACATGGAAAAGTTGAAAAGTGAAAATCGCCTGTTGCTTGCTGCTTATGAAACCCCTGTAATCAGGGTAATCAGTAGAGATAGATCACTCTATAAATTCTGTGTATAATTTCAGGTTTACTCTCAGAGGAACAGTGTAAAGCTAGAGATGCTCGACGGAAATCCAAAATGGCAATCGACAAACCTCAGAACAGTCCAGATAGTATTTTATCGCCTAGTGTGTCAGCGGCAAATTCCCCCCAGAGTTTTACTAAACCTCTGGATGCCCTGAATGATGAACAGAAAGAGTTGATAGAGAGGATTGTTTACCTGCAGGATTACTATGAGCTTCCCAGTGATGAGGATATTAGAAGAATACAGGTGAGTAAAGTGTAGGACACGAGTCTATGACGGAATGTACTAAAAACCCTTCGACCTACGACCCTTCGACCCTACGACTTACTGGGTGTCAAGAATTTTTGGAATATATTTTATTGAAAAACCATTTGACCTCTGATTTCCCAGTCCAGTTTACTAAATGATTACGTATAGTTCCAACTTGAGCTCCCTGTGCACGCAAATACGCATTTTACCTGGTAATTGTCAAGCAAAAATGTTTCAGTAGAAAAATTTCTAAAAAAGATCGTCTACACAGCAAAAATACGAACGCCGAAAAAAAACGTACGCATTTCGTTCGGACTTTTCACGCGAATTACGTATATGTCACGCATTGCGTTCGAAATTTTTCGTCCCTACCCCCTAGTATGTTGATACTCAAAAGCATGGCACATTGGCCAGGTGGCCATTTTGAAAAGTGGCCTCTACAGTATTTTAAAGTCTTATTTTACTTTTTTACTAAAACTTGAAAAGTAGTTTCAAAAGTAGAGATCAAAAGTTCGATGGGATTTGCTCCACCTCGCGTTGCTGTTATCTAGTTCTGAAATGTTTCATATCTATGTCTAATAAATATAGTTGTATAGATGTGTTTGTAATAACCTTTATGCCCTTAAAATGTATATATTCAGGGGGGGGGCATTCGTGGGTTCAAGTGGACCACTCCATTGGCCAAATATTCTCTCAAAATCAGTACAATTTTTCACGATTCTGAGCATTTTCAAGATTTCTGGGCCACTTGAAAATTGTCAAATGTTCACCCCTTGATCCTTTTGAAAAACTTAAATTGGCAAAAGCTGGTTATACGAACCTAATATGACCTAGCTTGCAAGCTTTTTCTTGAGTTTGTGTTTATTTTCCTTGTACCCTTGCATGCTTTGGATTTTGTAGGATGCAAAACAAAGAATCTACTTATTTACAAAACTTATTTACATTTTTACAAACGAAATAGAAAAGCAAATATCATGAAATAACACACATAAGAAAGGCCACCATTTTCAAAATGGTTGCTCACTAACCAAGTTGTCATCAGAAGAAGTAATATCCTTTTTTTTACTATTCACATACAAAATATGCACAAAATCGCTTCACTACTTTTCGAGTAAAATACTTTAGAATGGTGGCCATTTTTCAAAATGGCCACCTTCTACCAAAAGTGTCATTAGACAGTGTGCCGTGCTTATAGTATTCACATACCAAATATGAACAAAATCGCTCCACCACTTTTCGAGTTACAGTAAAATACGTTAAAATGGCGGCCATTTTTTAAAATGGCCACCTTCTACCAAAAGTGTCATTAGACAGTGTGCCATGCTTATTTTATTCACATACCAAATATGAACAAAATCGCTCCACTACTTTTCGAGTTATAGTAAAATATCTTAATATGGTGGCCATTTTGAAAAATGGCCGCCTTCTACCGAAAGTGTCATTAGACAGTGTGCCATGCTTATAGTATTCACAAACCAAATATGAACAAAATCGCTCCACTACTTTTTGAGTTATAGTAAAATATGTTAAAATGGCCGCCATTTTTCAAAATGGCCGCCTTCTACCGAAAGTGTCATTAGACAGTGTGCCATGCTTAAAGTATTCACAAACCAGATATGAACAAAATCACTCCACTACTTTTTGAGTTATAGTAAAATATGTTAAAATGGCAGCCATTTTTCAAAATGGCGGCCATTTTTCAAAATGGCTGCCTCCTACCAAAAGTGTCATTAGACAGTGGGCCATGCTTATGGATTTCTCATACCAAATATGAAGAAAATCGCTCCACTACTTCTTGAGTTACAGCAAAAATCGTAAATAATGAGAAAAGGCCGCCATTTTTCAAGATGGCTGCCATGTGCTTCTTTAATATCTACATTTCTAGCTTTATCAATGTCCTATATCATTATTTTACATTTAAAACATAATGCTATTACAGTTTTACATATTGCAACTAAATTACTGTAAAATCGGCACTAAAATGGCCGCCATTTTTAAATGAGCGGCCATTTTGAAAATCGGTTTTCGAGCAGAACTTCTACCCCCATAGGGTATATGTGTACAAAATATACCAACGGTATTTGAGTTATTGCCTGGACGGACGGACGGACGGACGGACGGACGGACAGACGTACGTACAGACGGACGGACGGACGGACGGAGGCGTTCCCTATATCCCTCCGAACTTCGTTCGATGGGATAATTAGAAGACCCAGTGTTTACTATATATACAATCTAAGTAATATTTCTTTTATACGTAGTATGTATACTTTGATAAACATTAATGATATACTAAATCCCAGGGAAGTATTTCATTCCAAAATTGTGGAGAAAATGCCGTTCAATCATGTGAATTTTCTGTCAATGTTACGAACCAATGAAGTCACCACCGAACTTGCATTCTTGGAAAGTCTAAATCGCTCGATGGAACACTCGATGGAACAATCGCTCGATGGGTCTACTTTCCCTCTTATTTTTGACCGGAAGTGTTTTCCTGACCTCGTTTTTTTACTGGCTGGATTTAGCCTTTAAACCTTCTTTACAATGATCTAATGATTACCTTAAATGAATTATAAACAATTTAAATTCCTATCCTCATTAGATCAGAATTCATTAGTTTTCTTTCCATTATTTGTTTACTTCTGGTTTGCTGTTGAATAAACATTTCTTGTAAATATTGACGTAAGCATATCATAATAGTTGTTAGTTCAAAATGCAATCTGGACAATAGCAAATGTTTATGATTATAACTATTACATACGATGCAGATCATGATTTACCCACTAGTTTCCCAGTTTATAACTGCCTGTTGTCCTGCCGATAATATGTGAAACTTTTACAAGATAATAGTTTGCAAAATATTACACGTCACTTGACGGACATGACGGCAATTGCCGTTATTATCTATTGACATGCGCACTTAAGCTTCATAATTTCACATCAATTGTCGTGCAACATGGCAATTGCCGTATGCCATGGTTATCGTCTCCACTGTACAAAGAATGAACCAATATGCGAACAGCGATTATGACATAGCGGGCAGATATACAGGGTGTTCAAAAAAATATGCAACCCAAAGAAATCGCTATATCTTGGAAAATACTTATCCAAATATGTCCATATTTTCAGGAAAGAAAGGAGAGACTGTGTATGTATAGCCCCTGTTGTTAGTTAGTTGTAAAACATGATGTCTTGGACACTTGCTCAAAAGACAGTTATACTAGCAAAATACGAAAAATGTGAATGGAAAATCACTATATCTTGGAAAATACTAATTCAATTATGTTCATTTTTTCAGGAAAAGAAAGAGGAGACTGTGTATGTATAGCTCCTGTTGTCAGTAAGTTGTAAAACATGATGCTTTGGACACCTGCTCAAATGACAGTTGTACGAGGAAAATATGAAAACGCTGTCAGAAGTGACTGCCACAGCAATAAAACCGAATTACTTTCTAACCATGGTGTTTTGGCACTTCAGATTTGGCACAAATTATCCTCATTCAATGTGTGGTGAATTTGTGGAGTTTCATCAAAATCACTCCAGGGACTTTACAGTCATGGTCAAAATGCCTTCTTAAGTCTCCCTGAACCAGGGCGTTTCACTGCGATTTGAAAGCATTTCAACCATGACTGTAAAGTCCCTAAAGTGATTTTGATTTCTTTCTACAGATCTACCATACAGTGAATGAAGATGATTTGTGCCAAATTTGAAGAGCCAAAACACTATGGTTAGGAAGTTATTTAATTTTTTTGCGGTTGCAGTCACCCCTGACTGCATTTTTCATATTTTCCAAGTACAACTGTCTTTTGAGCAGGTGTCCAAGGCATCATGTTTTACAACTAACCATTTACAGGAGCTTTACAAACGCAGTCTCTTCTTTATTTCCTGAAAATATGAACATAATTGAACCAGTATTTCTTAAGATATAGCGATTTCTTTGGGTTGCGTTTTTTTTTTAACACCCTGTACTATATCTGCCCGCTTGGAGTGGGACGTAAAGCTATATCTGCCCGCTGATGAAAATATAAGTTTTTACAAACTGGCTTTATGTTCCTGTAACATGTCCAAGTATAGGATAAACTTCAGTTCTACAAAGACTCCATATCATATTTGGAAATCCATATTTGGGAATATACATGTACTCCAAAAACTCCATAGTTGGGAATATACTAAAAATTTTGCATCACCCACCCACTCATACAGAATGAATCTCATAATATCGAATAAAGATCTAATGCTTCCCTAAAGATGAAATATTTATTGTTCAATGGTGCAAAGGGAAATGAAAACCTCAAAATGACACTTTCATAAATTATTACCATATTGTATTTGTATGTATGGCTGTATTGATTAGTCACATTGTATCACGCAGTAGAAACAGAATTTTGTTAAGTATGAAGCGTCAGGCTTTAAACTCTGAAATGATTCTATTACCTTTGCAATGTGTGCATACATGTAACTCTTTATCCTTATTGATCATGCTATTTTTCAATTGTAATGTTGTAATGAGTGTCATTATATAAAGGAAGTCTAATGAATATAAATCAATATTCTTGTCTCCTTTCCAATGGTTTAATTTTGCTTCTTTGAAATAATATTCTCTGGGATATATCACTTGTGAAAGATGCATTTTCAACCCAATAGAATTAATTACTGTCAAGCTGTAACGACACTTAATATTGTTAAGTCATGTTTGATAAATACAATATTCAGGTTGAAACTTCCGATGATGTCTTCAATGAGTAAAATCCACACTGAATGAAATCAATTCCTGGGAGCAGTGAATGCCGCAGTTGTCGAATTTAACAAGCATGGCCAGTAAATATCTCTTGATCGTTCATGACATGTGACCTGGTTTTGACCAATCATACAACTGCAGGCTTGAGAGATATAAAAGTTTATTGTCATTACGATTATTATCAATAGATGTGGCCATCAATGTCTTCCCAGTTTAAATTCTATCTAAATTAATTCTAAATTTTAAACAAGAAAAATAT